GATCTTGCCCCAGTGCGGCACTAGGGGGCGCTGTGCTGCAGGAAACAGGCTGAGGGCCCAGTAGGGGGCGCTGTCCCCTTGCAGTCAGTGCTGCCCAAGTGTGGCACTAGGGGGCGCTGTGCTGCAGGAAGTAGGGGTGATGTGGGGGGGGGTGCTGGTCCCAGTGCCCCCCAGATGGCACTAGGGGGTGCTCTGCTGCAGGGAGTGGGGGTGATGTGTGAGGGGGCGCTGGCCTCCGTGTCCCCCGGGTGGCACTAGGGGGCGCTATGCTGCAGGGAGTGGGGGTGATGTGTGAGGGGGCGCTGGCCTCCGTGTCCCCCGGGTGGCACTAGGGGGCGCTATGCTGCAGGGAGTGGGGGTGATGTGTGAGGGGGCGCTGGCCTCCGTGTCCCCCGGGTGGCACTAGGGGGCGCTATGCTGCAGGGAGTGGGGGTGATGTGTGAGGGGGCGCTGGCCTCCGTGTCCCCCGGGTGGCACTAGGGGGCGCTATGCTGCAGGGAGTGGGGGTGATGTGTGAGGGGGCGCTGGCCTCCGTGTCCCCCGGGTGGCACTAGGGGGCGCTATGCTGCAGGGAGTGGGGGTGATGTGTGAGGGGGCGCTGGCCTCCGTGTCCCCCGGGTGGCACTAGGGGGCGCTATGCTGCAGGGAGTGGGGGTGATGTGTGAGGGGGCGCTGGCCTCCGTGTCCCCCGGGTGGCACTAGGGGGCGCTATGCTGCAGGGAGTGGGGGTGATGTGTGAGGGGGCGCTGGCCTCCGTGTCCCCCGGGTGGCACTAGGGGGCGCTGTGCTGCAGGGAGTGGGGGTGATGTATTGGGAGATGCTGGCCCCTCACAGCTGGCGCTGCCCCAGGGTGGCACTAGGGGGCACCATGCTGTGGGGCCCCACGTGCCAGACCGAAGCAGCGATTGCACGTCCCTGGGGCGGCTGCGTCTCTCCGCAGGTCCATGGAAGCGCTGATGCTGGCCGGCCACGCGCAGTGCGTGATCGTGGAGACGGCCGCCCACCTGCCCAGCCCTGCCGAGATCCAGCTCGCTGCCCTCAAGCTCCGGGCCCTCTGCCTTCCTGGTGAGCGCTGGCCTCCCCCCGGAGCAGAGATCCCGCAGGGAGTCTCTCGTCTGCGCCGGGGTCTGGGGATCCCTGAGAGTAACTGCCCAGCCCTGCAGCGGAGGGAGCCTGGGTTATTGGGGATCGGCTCCCATGTGGGATTACTAGTTTGTATCCGGTGCACCCGTGCTGCATTTCCAGTCCCGCCTCTGTCTGTCTTGCTGCTCGTCTAGCCTCAGTATCATGCTGGTGTCTCGGTGCTGTGAGTTGTCTCTTCACAACCCCGGGGTGGGGAGCTATTATTCCCCCTTTTATGGGGGAAACTGAGGCACAAGACTTTACAGGATTTGCCTGTGTGGGATTACTAGTTTGTATCCGGTGCACCCGTGCTGCATTTCCAGTCCCGCCTCTGTCTGTCTTGCTGCTCGTCTAGCCTCAGTATCATGCTGGTGTCTCGGTGCTGTGAGTTGTCTCTTCACAACCCCGGGGTGGGGAGCTATTATTCCCCCTTTTATGGGGGAAACTGAGGCACAAGACTTTACAGGATTTGCCTGAGGGACTCTGCGTCTCAGCCCAGGCCTGGTCTCCAACCTTTTGGAAAAAACAGCAAACAAATGGTCTGGTAGCACTGTATAGACTAACAAAACGTGTAGCTGGGATCACAAGCTTTCGTGGGCGCAGCCCGCTTCTTCAGATAGCCGGAGTTATGACTCGAGGATAAGAAAACTCGAAATAAATAGGAGAAGGGACCTTTCGAAGTGTGAGATGGCTTTTTGAATAGAACATAAGAACGGCCGTACTGGGTCAGACCACAGGTCCATGTAGCCCAGTATCCTGTCTGCCGACAGCGGCCAGCACAAATCAAGCGATTTGTCTCCTGCCATCCTTCTTCAGCCTCTGACAAACAGAGGCCAGGGACACCATTTCTATCCCCTGGCTAATAGCCTTTTATGGGCCTAACCTCCATGAAATTATCTAGCTTCTCTTTAAACTCTGTTCTAGTCCTAGCCTTCACAGCCTCCTCTGGCAAGGAGTTCCACAGGTTGACAACATGCTGTGTGAAGAACTTTCTTTTATTAGTTTTAAACCTGCTACCCATTAACGTCATTTGCTGTCCTCTAGTTCTTCTATTATGGGAACTAATAAAAAAAATTTCTTTATTCGCCCTCTCCACACCACTTGAATTTAGGTGCAATCCAAGATCTATCTCAAACCCAAACACCCTGGCCCCGCCTCCTTTGTGCCCCTCCTCCGAGGCCCCGCCCCTGCTCACTCCATCCTCCCTCCCTTTCACCAGGCAGGGCAAGAAGGTTGGGGGGCGCAGGCTCTGCTCTTGGGTTAGGGGATATGGAGTGTGAGAGGGGCTCTGAGCTGAGCCTGTGGCAGGGAGTTGGGGTGCCGGAGGGGGTTCTGGGCATAAGTTCTGGAAGGGAGTTTGGGACTAGGGGGCTCGGGTCTAGGACAGGCGCTTGAGGCGCAGCAGGGGGGTTCGTGACTGGGGCAGGGATGCAGAAGCCCTGCTGTGTCCCCTCTCTGCTCTATGGGGATAGGCTACAAGGTGGGAAGGGGGCACCTTGACATCCGTGTCCCTCTTCTCCCTCCCTGCCCTGCACAGGCCGGAGGGGGTTCTGGGCATAAGTTCTGGAAGGGAGTTTGGGACTAGGGGGCTCGGGTCTAGGACAGGCGCTTGAGGCGCAGCAGGGGGGTTCGTGACTGGGGCAGGGATGCAGAGCTAGCTCTCGCCGGGCACTGCTTATCTCAGGGGGCCCCTGGGTGGGGGGGGCTGGGGCAGGGATGCAGAGCTAGCTCTCGCCGGGCACTGCTTATCTCAGGTGGCCCCTGGGTGGCGGGGCAGTGGGGCTGAGGCAGGCTCACCCCTGCACCACTCCCCAAAGCAGCCAGCAAACTCCATCCCAAGTCCTGCTGTGTCCCCTCTCTGCTCTATGGGGATAGGCTACAAGGTGGGAAGGGGGCACCTTGACATCCGTGTCCCTCTTCTCCCTCCCTGCCCTGCACAGCAAGCAGGCAGCTCCCAGGGGTGGGGGGGAGGCAGCTCCAAGGCAGAGGGCAGTAGGGGGAAGGGGCGGCTGACGTGCCGGCACTCGACAGCCTCTTGGCCAAATCAGTCAGGATCCCCCATCAGAGGCTCCAAGATCTCCCAGTAGAGCCCGATCAATGGATTGGTGACCACTGGCCTAGCCCTTCTGCGCCCTAGGCTGGGGCCGTAAACCCAGGCCAGCTCTCTCCTCCCGGAAGCAGCTGGCTGTTTGATCCAAGCAAGCCCATGCTGCATGAAACAGGCCTGGCTAAAGCCAGCACCGTTCTGCATTGGCTATGGGGCTGCTGGGCCTGGACGGTCTCTTCCTTCCCCGCCCTCTGGGACGCTTCCTGACCTGCCGCAGGAAGGGCAGCCCCGAAGGAAGGACGTTCAGGCTCTTGCTGGGCCTTGGGAGATCTGGGTTCTGGTCGCCTCTCTGCCACAGACTCCCTGTCTGACCTGGGTCAAGCCACTCGGTCTCCCTTGGGCTTCGGGTCCCCCGTCTGGGCGTGACAGTTCGCTTCCTCCCCGGCGGGCGGCACCGACGGAGGCCAGATTAACCTCACCGCAGCCACTGCGGCTTCCTTCCAGACTCCGCCGTGGCCGTGGCCGACGAGAAGTGGCTCTCTGCCCTGGAGGGGACACGCTGGCTGGACCACGTCAGGTGAGAGCCACCCCCCCGGAGACACCGGTGCCTGTGGACGGGGCTGGCCCGCCGCCCTTTCTCGGGGACGAGGGGCGTATCTGGCTGGATGAATTGCACGGCACTTGGGGTGCCCTTTGCTTGCCACGGGCTGCAGGGCCTTCGTCTCCGGTAACGCCCCACCCCCTCCTTGCAGGGCTTGCGTGAGGAAAGCGAGCGAGGTGGCCGTCCTGCTGGCAGAGAGGTCCTGCTCTGTTGTCCTGCAAGGTAGAGTAAGTGGCACCCTCCCTGGGCCCGGCGCGGGCTGAGCCCAGGAGCTGGGGTGAGCTGGCTCTGGTACCGTCCTGGGGGAATCACTTGTCCCCTGCCAGGGGTCGGGGTCGGCTTCCCCACTCCGCCACCCCCGGGCAACGCAGGCACGTCCCTCCCCTCGCTCAGTGAGAGGTCCTGCTCTGTTGTCCTGCAAGGTAGAGTAAGTGGCACCCTCCCTGGGCCCGGCGCGGGCTGAGCCCAGGAGCTGGGGTGAGCTGGCTCTGGTACCGTCCTGGGGGAATCACTTGTCCCCTGCCAGGGGTCGGGGTCGGCTTCCCCACTCCGCCACCCCCGGGCAACGCAGGCACGTCCCTCCCCTCGCTCAGTGGGCTGCCAAGCACGAGCCACGCCCCAGCACCGAGGGGTGGGATGTCGGGCCCTGAGGCTCTGGCTGCAGGGGGATCAGGTGAGCAGTGGGGGGCTAAGGCAGCTCCCTGCCTGGCCTGGCCCCCGGACTGCGCTGCGCCCCAGAAGCAGCCGGCCCGGCTCCTGGGTGTCACAGGGCTCCACACGCTGCCCTCCCGTTGGCTCCGGTGTGGGAGGGGAATGTGGGGCGGGTCTTTCTCCTTCTGTCGGGGGCCACCTCAGTGAGGGTTTAGTTTGGGGGGGGTTGCAGCCCCTGAGCCAAAAGAGGTTCCCCGCCCCCGTTCTAGCGCTCGCCTGACTGACCAGGGGTCTCTCCTGTTTCCTGGTGCCGGGCTCACCCCAGGGTGAGCTCAGCTTGGCGCCCAGGTGAAGGATCCCGCGCTGTTTCTTTCAGTCGCACCCTTTGTCTTTATTCAAAGCAGGACGCTTCCCCTCCCCCTGCCGTTTGCTTCTCTGGTAGATTTCCTTTCTTGTACGTTTCAGCCGCTCCCTTCTCTGCTAGCTCGATATGCAAATCGCTCTAGAGGGGGAGGCCTAGAACGCACAATAGCCAAACGGCCTGGCAGGGGGTAGGTCTGTTACCTCCTGGTGACCCACCTTTAATCCAAGACTTAGGAGTCTGAAAACGTATGTTCTTCACTCCCTAAATATTCTCCATCCATTTTGCCACGGCGGCCAAGACCAGCGAGCTGCTGGCTCTTGGTAGACACGTCACCTTGGGTGAATTATTGGGCATATATCTGACCCAGGAGATCCCCGGGAAACCCTATGTACCCCTGGTTCCCGCTGCCTACGGGCACCTTGGGATGCCTGAGTCCCAAGGTCCGTGCTGGCCGGTAGGCTGGCCGGCTGGCTCCGACGTTGGGGACTCCAGGTCCATCCCAAGAGCTATGGTCATTCAGCCTCTTCCCTGGCAGCTGCAGAGGTCTGCGGCCAGCGGAGACCCAGCCCTCCCCTTGCTCTAGTCTGGTGTTTCTTAAACTGTGTTCCACGGCACACCGGTGTGTTGCGGAGAACAACAGTTCAAAATGGCCGCCCTTAAAAGGGCAAGCAACTTTTTTTTTTTTTTTTTCCCCCTCAATAACTTTCCCCCGACCCTTTTTATCAATAACCTCCCCCCATCCCGACCTTTTTTGGGCTCAGCAAAAAACCCTTGGTGTTCCTCATAAAAACAAATTATTGCTTGGTGTTCCTTGGTCTTAAAAAGTTTACGCAACGCTGCTCTAGTCCCTCAGTGTCTGTATCCTTCCAGAGTCCGAAGACCGGGATCTGAACTGCCTGCTGGCCTCCCTGGTCCAGATCCTGTCGGATCCGCATGCCCGCACCCAGGCTGGCTTCCAGAGCCTGCTGCAGAAGGAGTGGGTGGTGGCAGGACACCCCTTCCTCCAACGCCTCAATCTCTTCCGGGACAGCGACCGCGAGGAGGTGAGGCTCGGTGCACACGTGGCTCCGGCGTGATGCTGGGCTGCGTTGGCCAGAGAGAGGCGCTTGAGCGCAAGCGGGGAGTTCCACCAGCCTGGCCTATGTGATGTCAGCTGCCTCTGAGCATGGCTGATTGGAAGCCAAGAGGATTTCCTGAACGGACAGTCGCTTTCCCAAGGCTGCAGTGGGGCTCCAGGCACAGAAAGGGGCTTGGATCCAAGCTGCCCGGGCCCTGCTCCGACCCACATCCTCAGCCCCACATCCTGAGCACCCTGGGCTCCGGACTGCACTTTGCTGCCACTCCTGTGGAAAGCAGTTATGGGAGAGCTGGGATTACCGGGTGGGGCAGGGCCGTCCTTGGGGTTTATGGGACCGTAGGCAGTGCTGTTAAACCGCTGCCCCAATGCCCCACAGCAGCCGGGGGAAGGACGATGGTTTTTAGAGCCGCGATTGCGTAATCTCCAGCAACACGCTAGCGAGAGATTTTTGAATGCCAATTGTAAACTGAGGCTCTGGCGACTCTCGCACTCGGTTCCGAAACAGACCCTGCGTTCCGGGGGTTGGGAAAAGGCAGCTGAGTGGCTCTTTCACGTCCCTGGGTTGGCAGGTCGGATGTGCTGCCGTTCGCTCTGGCAGGCTTTGTCACTTGTCGGTTAACTCGACCTTCTCCGGCGGAAGCAGAGCCGCAGGCCAGGGATAAAACGTCTCCGAGGGGGAGCCCTGTTAGTCTGTACCTGCAAAAACGAGGAGTCGTCCTTTGGCACCTTAGTCCACCAGATTCATTAGGAAGAGGCAGGAGGGTGGACATTAAGACCCAGCGGTGCCCCAAATTTTCAGGCACCCTACGCAGCAGCATGTTCTGCGTATGGGTAAGGACGGCTCTGGCTGGGTGTGGGGAGAGGCAAAGGGGGAGCAATTAGTGGGCGGCCCAGTAGCTGGGAAGGTTCGCGGGTGGCTCGGTGGGGATCGGAGTCAGAACCAAAGAAGCCCAAACCCAAGCAACCCCTCTGGGCTTTGTGCAATGGGTACGCCCACATCTCGAATACTGTGTACAGATGTGGTCTCCTCACCTCAAAAAAGATCTCTTGGCATTAGAAAAGGTTCAGAAAAGGGCAACTAAAATGATTAGGGGTTTGGAACGGGTCCCTAAAGAGACTTTCCACCTTAGAAAAGAGGAGACTGAGGGAGGGATATGATAGAGGTATTTAAAATCATGAGTGGTGTGGAGAGGGCGAATAAAGAAAAGTTCTGTATTCGTTCTCATAATAGAAGAACTAGAGGGCACCAAATGAAATGAATGGGTAGCAGGTTTACAACTAATAAAAGAAAGTTCTTCTTCACAGAGCGCACAGTCAACCTGTGGAACTCCTTGCCAGAGGGGGCTGTGAAGGCTAGGACTAGAACAGAGTTTAAAAAGAGCTAGAGAAATTCATGGAGGTTAGGTCCATAAAAAAAGCCAGGGGGGTCAGAACGGTGCCCCTGGCCTCTGTTTATCAAAAGCTGGAGATGGATGGCAGGAGACAAATCACTTGATCATTGTCTTCGATCCACCCTTTCTAGGGCACCTGGCGCTGGCCACTGTTGGCAGACGGGATACTGGGCTAGATGGACTTTTGGTCTGACCCAGTGTGGCCGTTCTTATGTTCTTATTTGCTGGGAACAGGACCAGTGTTAGAACAGTCCCCGGACTCTGGTTCTATTGCTCAGGGGGGGCCTCTGCTGGACAGTCTGTGCATGACACTGGTCCTGACCTGCCTGGGTTACAGCTGTTGGAGCAGCTGTTTGGAGCCTTTAAATTGGATTGTTTGGCTTCTTGCTGAAAGACGCATTAGATCAGCAGCCAGACAACGGGCTGGGTGGAGGAATCGCTGGGTAACGTTCGGGGGAGATGGGCTCTGGGTAGCTGGGTCCAATTTCCCACTCTGCCATCGGCTCCTCCTCTACCGCGGTTCCTCGTGCGATAAAGGACCTACCCTGCTTCACGGAGATCCCAGAGGAAAAACGCGTTGGAGAGACAAGGTGCCTGGATGCTATAGACATGGGGGGCCCAGATGGTGTCTCCCATGTGGGGGCAGAGCCTGAGCTCAGATCTCCAGGCAGGTTGTTCAAGCTGCCCCGGTCCCTCACAGTGTTGACATTATTTCCTTTCTGGGTAAATCTCGGCAGCGTTACTGTGGGTTGTTTCAGGACCTGCTCTGTCCCACCCCAGAGTTGGCTGCATTTTGCTGTCCCCCAGGGAGGTGTGATTTTTTTTTTCCTCTCTCTCTCTTACAGTCACCAGTGTTTCTGCTTTTTCTGGATTGCACGTGGCAGCTGTTGCAACAGTTCCCAGCAGCCTTTGAGTTCACAGAGACGTACCTGGTGGCCCTTCACGACAGTAGCTACATCCCCTTCTTCAGCACTTTCCTATTTAACTGCCAGTGGGAGAGAGATCGGAGGAATCGGGTGAGTCTAGCATGGAACCTCCCAGCTACAGTGAAATGTGAGACTGCTCCTAGCACTGTCCTGCAGTGGGCGGAGGAGGGGGCAGTCTGGCACAGTGGTTAGTGCAAAGCCTGGGCGTGAGCACTCCTTGGCTCTGTTCCTAGCTGGAAGAGCAAAGCCTGGCCTACAAGAGTAGCTGCGGGGGAAGGACTCCTAGGTTCTGTTCCCAGCTCTGGGAGGAAGCACACCCTAGTGGTTAGAGCAGATGGCTGGGCAAGCAGATTCCTGCCATTCCTGGCTCACTGCCTGACCTCGGGCAAGTCAACGCGTGTGTGTGTGCCTCAGTTTCCCCCCCCATAGGACAGGGCTTACGATTCTCTCCCTCTTCTGTGAAGCACTTTGAGATCCTCCATGCATAAAATTCTCTTTAAGGGGCCTGTCCCTGGCCCAGCCTCGGCAGGGTAGGGGGTGCAGCTTCTCTGCGGGGGACGGGTGAAGGCACATGGATGTGCACTCGTTGCGTCTTTTGGAGACACCCCTCACGCTCTCCGTCTGTCCCCCAGCACCAGGCCTCCAACCAGATCTACGCGCCCGTCAACGGCTGGCGGGAACCCCCATCCCTGGAGATCCTGCAGGAGGGTGACCGCCTGGCGAAGGAGGGGGGGGGCTGCCGCTTGCCCAGCCTCTGGGACTGGGCACTGCGCTACACCCCCCAGCAGAGGGCGCGGTTCAGGAATCCCGCCTATGTCGGGCACAGCACCAGCGTTCCCAACGGCAGCTCTGCCCCACTAGGGGGCGACAAGGTGAGTGCGCCAGGCTGCAAACACCGGGGGGCCCGCTAGGAGTGAGCGGGGAGCGTCGCCTAGTGGTCACGCCATGGTGCCGCAAGAGTCAGCCCAGCTGGGTCATCGCCTTTCAGAGCCTCAGTTGACTCTTTCTGTGTCACTAGTGGAGCTGGTGATAGAACCCAGGAGTCCTGTGCCCTGCCCCGCCCCGCTCTGCCCTGGCTCTGACTGCTAGACTGCGCTCCCCTCCCAGAGCTGGCAGTAGGATCCAGGACTCCGGAAGCCCAGTCCTCCCCTCTAGCCCCCAGTCCACACTCTCCCCTCCTAGGCCGTCCAGTACCCTGCAGTGGCTAAGGCACGTTCTCCATCTCACAGCTGGGTCTTACTGTCCTCGGTCCCTCCCGCCCCCTTGCCGGCCCTCCCATCCCCCTCCTCTCTCTCTCCAGCTGGAACCTGCTTTGTCCAGGAATGGGGCCGTGTACCTGTGGACCAAGGGGGCCCTCTCGCCGCAGACCCACCTCTTCCCCTGGAAGAACGGCTGCTCAGTCCTCAGAGAGCCTCGGTGAGCAGGAGCGGCCCTTGAGGCGCAAATCCAGCAGCTGCCCCTTTCAGCCTGAAGGGCTCCTGCTCCCTGCGTCTGCGGGGCCCCTGATCCGGCTCTGGAGGAGGTGCTACCTGCGCGGGAGCCAGGAAGTGCAGGTAATGCTGGCAGACCGGGGCTGTGGGGTGAAGGCTCTGAGCTGAGTCTTTGTGTGCCTCATAATTCTCTGTAGGGCGGGGGGTAGTCTAATGGCTAGAGCACTGGCCTGCAACTCGGGAAGCCTGGGTTTTGGTCCTAGCTCTGCCACTGACTCTCTGGGTGACCTTGGGCAAGTCATCTAGTTTCTGTGTCTCTTTCGTGGAAATGGAGATCGTTTTGCCTTGCTTCACAGGAGGTTGTGAGGATGAATCCGTTAGTGGTTCTGTGGGGTTAGACACTTCGGTGCTGGTTAAATCTATAGATTCATAGCAAAAGACCTCTCTGTCGATTCTGGGCAGTGGGACGGGCCTAGGATAGTAAGGCAGAGACTGTGTATCCCTTGTAGGTGCCAGTATTAACCCCCCCCCCCCCCCCCCCCCCGCGGGGACAATAGATCCCAGGAGATCACATTCTCATATTTAGTACCTGGTAGGTGCTGTACAAACATAATAGAGAGAGTCCCTGTAGAACAGAGCTAGGCCCGGGGTAAAGGCTGGTGCTTAAGCTCCAGAGAGGATGGGGGCGAAACTACCCAAACATCTCTCCCTGTAAGGAGCCCTGTGTGGAAACCCCTGGCAGGAGGGACCCATTAATGAGCTTCTGCTGATGCCCTGTCACTGAGGGTACGTCTACACTACATGCCTCTGTCGGCAGAGGCATGTAGATTTGTTTATTCAGCAAAGGTAAATGAAGCCGCGATTTAAATGATTGCGGCTTCATTTACATTTACGTGGCTGCCGCGCTGAGCCGACAAACAGCTGATCAGCTGTTTGTCCGCTCAGCGTGCTAGTCTGGACGCTCCCCTGCCGACA